TCAAGGATCGGTGAGTTATATATCTGATGTGTTGAGTGCCAATTAGTATCGAAAAAGTCGCAATTCAAATCATAGAGAGCTTTGAAAATGACAACGCTCAGTCCATTTCCATGATTTGTGTGCTAAAGGGTGGCTTCAAGTTCTTCGCCGATCTTATCGATGCACTTGAACGGACGATCAGGGCCCGCGGCACACAGATCCCTATTGCCACAGATTTTGTTAGAGTCAAAAGCTACGTCGTAAGTTTTTTGATTTATGTACACATGATTTAGAACGCCCAATCCGGTCCGTCTATTTACCTGTCTGGCGTCGAAAATGTAGAAGGCTATCGGGGAAAAGTTCGCTTTTATACATTATCTGAATATACCTAGGATATACTTATCGTTGAAGATATCGTGGATACTGGTCGGACGATGAGCAACTTGAATAAATACCTTCGAACATTGAATGCGAGAAGTGTTCGCGTCGTGAGGTTAGCTACTGTTGTGCAGTCCCGTTCATTTTTTAAATAATTAACTGACCACCACCCCTCCCTCTTCCATCACCAGTGCGCAAACACTCTTCCAAACACTTCAATGCTCCGCTTAATTTCGTTTATACCCATCTGACTACTTTTTTGTTGCGACTGCTTAAATTTGTGCATTCGCCAACATAACCAAGAGACCTAGTTGTGTTGATGCGTCCGCTTAATGTTCCTCAAACATCAACGCAAGGACTATATTCATGCATGACTTTGCCTGGTGCTCGCCATAATTTGACTAAGGAAATCGTCCTGAGGAAGGGACGAGCTGTTTGAGGTCGAGCGACTCCTCACTGTCGACAGAAACGGGATCTGGTAGACGGGCGAAAAGGGCATGAAGCATCGCATTATTTTTTTCAAAGCATTCCATTATTCTTCGGAAGTCAGTGGCCTCAGCAGGGATTCCACATGCAGGCCCCTCGATGGCTTTACCTTGTTTTTTTTATACACTTGCACCTACCTCGACAGTTCTTCATTGACCACAAACCTGGCATTAAAATAAACATTTTATTGAGAATTATGCTAAGTATGCTGCAACTAATGTCAACTTTAGAAGGTAGTGAGGAAAATTTTCCTGCAAAACAGTTTAGGAAAGAACTTTGATTTTGTACGCTCAAATCATGTCCGGTCGTTCTAAGCCTACGCAAAGCAGTACGCCTTTGCACTCATTTTCTCCAGCTTTGCACAATTGCCAGTTCGCTTGGCCTGCATAGCCACATGCATCAGACTTATAGATGTCATTTTACAAATTTCGACCTGTTATATACCTTCGCAACAAACCTTCATCTCAAACCTACAGCTTCCTTTGTCTTCAAAATTTTTGCATAACTTAATTTGGTCTGTTTTCGTCCGCCAACTGCACTTCTGATAATTTGTTGATTAAATATTTTTAGCCTTCTTGTCAAAAGAACGCCATTGAGTTGCGGATACCGTCCCGACTGTAAGTTTTTTCGTCCCTACCCGCCTAATTATTATCGCAAGATCAAAGTGTATATGCCGGATCTTCTCCCCCTCCGTTCACTAATTTCAATTCTCAGCCAACTTTTGTCGGTATAATACCCTCATTTTCCCTCAGAGGAAGACATATTTCCGACCAATGTCTGCTGCCTTTTCTGAAGCATAACCGAGATTTCTGTATTTAGCCAAGGCCTGTTGTCAGAACTGTAAGATAACGTAACCGATAAATATACTTTCTTAAGACCACGTGGAGAGGGTGGGCATTCGAATTAGAAAGCCACCTAGAGTTTTCTCGTCCGTTTGCCTCTTCGGTCACATTCGTTCCACCACACTTCCTGTAGTTAACGATCAGAGTGCATGCCTCATCTGGGCAGTCTTGGTGATATTTCCAATCGCGACTGTCTGTGACGGTGAATGTAGAGAATCCAACTTCTCCCCTCCAACGAAAAAAAAACCGAATAGTCCGAGAACCACTGTATTTTGGCCGAGCCATGTTGTGCTCATCGTCGACGTTGCTAAGTGGGCAGCGACACTGGAATCATGGGACAGACAGCCAACAGCGTACACAAACCACCTCAATCGTCTTTCTTGTACGCCTCATGATGTTGCCGCAAAAATTTCAAATTGTATCATTTGAGATAAAACCGGTGAACCTGCAGTCGGTGAGACTGATTATGCCTCATCTAGGCGACCTCGATGATGCCACGTATTATACCTCTCCACCGGTTGCGATTTCCGCCAACGGATCCGGACAGATCGACCCACTTTCTTTTCCAATGACGGAGGCCCAATACTGAAGGTCCAAGAAGTCACTTCCATGTCTTGACGAACCATGTCGAGCCAGGTTTTGAGTTGACCTGCACTTCGACGTCTCTAGATGGGCAACGACACCGGATTGAGGGCAGTATAACTGAGCTCGTTTGATAGCTGACGGAGAGTATGCCCAAGCCACCTCAGTCGTCTTCCTTAGGTGGCCTGAGATGTCCTCGTGATATTGCCGCAACGAGTGTGGACTGTCCTAGTTGAGACAAAGTCGGTGTACTTCACTCGAAGGGTAGTCCTCAAGCATTGGTGGTCAAATATCTCCAATATTCGCTAATTTTCTACGCGCATAGCCCAGAATTCAGAACTGTACAGATAAACCGACCGGACAGATGCATGGTACACGCGAATCTTCGTGAGGATGGAGATGTCATGTCGGGCCCATAAACGCTTTCGGGGGCGTGAAAAAAACCGGCGAGCAGCATCGATTCGGGAGACAATGTCGTCCTTACTCGGTCCATTAGGAAGCAGCCTCGCTACGAGGTATTTGAAACTGCCTGCTCCTTTAATTTAACAGCCCTTTTTCCCAAAAAGTACCTTCCCCTGGTCAGAGATGCAACTGGAAAACGACTTGGTCTTCCCAGCGTTTATGGATAAACCGACCGAAGAGACTTCTTCATTCACCACATGCTGTTGATCACCAGAGCTTGCGACTTGAAAAGCGATATCAAAATGCTGCTGGAGCGCGGATCGTTGCGGTCTGGCACGTCGAGTGCCCACGATGACGGCACTGTACCGTGGCGACCCTGGGCAGATCAGCAGATGTTTGTGTCCATGGGAAGTAACTGATTCTAGTCGGCAGAGCATAACGCTCCCACCACCGTTTTATTGAGAGTCTAGGCCGAACCGGCCAATAAGATGGTTGTTTAAAAGGTTGCTCCGCTCAGTCATCGGCAATAAGTAGCAGGTCACGCCCAGAGAGAGAGAGTTCATAAACCATTTCTCCCAATAACAACAAGTAGGCGCTTTCCCTTGCCACGCTGGCGGCAGTTGATCCTAGAGAAATTGCCTGACGGTTTTTTTTCTGGCTCCCACGATTCACCTGATCCAAGGGAGCTGTCGCCACACCGTGTCTACCAAAGAAGTCTCTGAGACAGCTATGATTGAGTCTGAAGTGGGGGTTGACCACTGAGGTCTTAATTCCCCTATGGCCTGGGTCAGAGATTTGGACTTCTAACAGGTTTCATATATTCACCTACTGCTAACGAAGGCAGCGCGCCGTACGATGTCGGGTGTCGAGATCGAGAGACATTGACATATTCCAGCACCCAACGTCAAGAGTTCATTCGTGAACAAGTCACCCATACCGCTAATGCCGCCGGATGGGGGCTGTAGAGCGCGTTGGTTCTCAAGTGTACTGTGGCGCATATTCTAACACTGGAATTCATTTCTTGAAAATTTTGATGACAAGCAGGTTTTTAACAGCTGACAGGATTTTTATCCCGAAGTTTTCTCCTCTAGTACTTCGACCCGCTGTCCAAACTACAAGATATCGGTGGCAAGCAGACTTATTTAATGTCGGTTTATGGTCATCATATTGTTGTGACTTCATCTGACTTTACCGGTATACAATAGCGGTAGCAGACCTCAGTCCTTCGCCTCCTAATAGACCTGTCGCTACTGCTCCGTGACCGATTATTCGTTACACAGCCAGCCTTCTCTGAAGGTTATTCCATTACACGCCACCCATGAGCGCACCGGCCAACCAGCAACTGGCCTAACTGCTAACCCCCGTCTTTACTTCGGTGGTTTGCTATGCTAAACTACATAGGTACGCAGTAAAGCACCGGCTTGACATGTCAGAATCTGGATTTCAGGAAAACAATCATGTTTACCAACTGAGATGAAGGTACGGTTTTTGGGGGCAGGGCGGGCTTTAGCAGAATTTCGAGTTCACACTAGAACTGTGCTTCCGGGAGTGCTAACGCATGCATCAGCTGCGCACTTGCTGCACTTGCCTTGAGGTCTACAGCCATAATTGCCAATACCGCAGTTCGAGACCCCATCGCGGACCCAGGCAATTCGTGTGCTCGCAAGCGCTTACAGTAGGTGTCGTATCTGCTGAAACACTAACTGAAATTCTGTGATCTGATCTCGACAAGGAGGGACCTGTAGGTTTGGTTCTCACACAGTATGATCTCAGGATATTTAAGTCGCGCCAGGATAATCGGTTTTTGTATGAGGGTCTTTCCGACAGCTTACAAAAATCACGTGCACAAAGATGGCAACTTAGGTAATGTTTTTTTTTCATTCATTTTGGGCACCTTATAAATCCAAACATATCTTATAGAAAATATGCTTTCTGTCACGCATTTTATGGAAGTCTACCTCTTCGCATTTTCTACACGAAAACTACGCTTTTTCAGCTTGAGAGAGTTTGTAATTAAACGACATCGTACCCGTCCGTATGAATTATGCGACATGGTGTACATGCATTGCAAATTTTTTGAACTCTACGCGGTCTCTTATAGCGCTGCGTTCCCAACTTTTTAATGCACTCCCGTTGCGTAAAACAAATAGGGAGTTCAAAGGTGCAACACTCGCATTTCCCTCAAATAAAACTAAAAACTACGATTTTACCCAGATGGAAAGTGTGCGACTTGTAGACTTGAGGCCCTGACTGCGAGTGTGACTGAAATATGCAGGTGACTTATCTTTCTACAAAGCGCCTAACAGCGAAGCTGCTTTTTTTCTGCGCGTTTTTTGCAAAGTATGTTTGAATTTATAAGGGCATCAAAAACAATTTTTTTTAAATGCGTACTACTCCTTTAGTATTTTTTTGGCATTGGTTGCTTTGCTTGCACGTGCTTTAGACGTCTGTCGACGTGTCAGGTCTTGGCAACGCTTATGGCGGCGTACGATCTCGGCTCCGAACTGTGTTGTGAGGCTCTCCACAGCGTCATTTATAAAGAATTTGCATCAGATGCTGTCACATGTTTTTTCCTGTTTGCGCGTTTCAGACTAAAACGGTCAAACTCCTGACCGGCGTAAGATAAAGCAGATGTAAATATTTGCAGTCTCCTTCCAGAACACTAAAGTGGCTCTCTGCTCGAGTATTCCTGAGCGCAGGCAACAGCAGCACAATCCCTTAGCTTTCATCTTAACGCGAATGTAATATCCAATTGTGTTGATGTATCAGCAATCTCCAACTGTGTGTTATCACCCCCTAGTTTTGGTGTGTCGTACGTGTCGACGGCACTCATCTTCAAGCGCGGCTTTTATATGCATTCATCGCTTTTTAAATCTACTTACCCAGCATAATTTACTTTGATGAATTTGGATGCCATCTCCCCTCCCCTCAACGAAACCCCGAGGACATGTTTCTAGCTTACGGGGAATGTTCTGGGAGAAATTATCGACTCACCTCATTTAGCTGCTAGAATATTCATTAACTGCAACAACTTTTTTTCTACCAGACAAATTACATGTCGCCGCCAGAGTTGTGACCTTGTTAGTTTTATAGAAATGATTTACCCCAGGTCGTGTATTCTCTTTTAGTTGCTGGGTTTGAAATTCCGGACGAGTTCGTCGTCGGCTACGCTTTGGATTATAACGATTACTTCCGAGACCTACACGTAAGTTTGGCTTTATACAATCTTCCCTCCATTATGGCTTGTTCACCGCGCCCACAAGTACCACTTAAGTACTGCCACTACTACTACTACTACTACTACTACTACTACTACTACTACTACTACTACTACTACTACTACTACTACTACTACTACTACTACTACTACTACTACCACTACTACTACTACTACTACTACTACTACTACTACTACTAATACTACTACTACTACTACCACCACCACTGCAATAACTACTAATATTAATAATAACTAATTGATTACTGTCAATGGGATTGGCGCCGTATAATAACAGTTTAGTCACGTTTTCCTGGAACTCCCGCCCCCGTAACCCGTATGGCGACGTTTAACTTGCCCCCGTACCTATCGGCCCTCACAGCAGATGTGCCATTTCATGAAATGCTGACTGAAATTCTGAAGTGTTTTTTTAATTCGGAAAGATTACTTAAGTAGGGCTGTAATATTAATAATCATGTGACTTTATCCCAAAATATTTCACTTTCCTCAGAATTCTCACCTGCATAAGCTGTATTCCGTAACAAGTGACCACTTATATAGTTTGAATTTTTAGCTTAGATTTTCGATGTACTTATAAATTCCAACATGCACAAAAATATTCTTCTTCTCTTTTGGCAACACACTGCGTCTCCTTCCAACCTACATTTTGAGATAGTATTATTCAATGTAAGAAACCGATTCCCTAATAATTTTGAACCCGACCTGTCTTTATATTTGCATTCAGGGTCTCCAAACTGTAAACTGTATACTCTGCGTGTAAGGAAAATCATGCATTCGCATGTGCTCTTAAAAATGCGTCATACAGTAGTCATAAAATTTAACATTGGATGTAGACTATGTCGTCCATCTTATAAGCAGTATTAATTTATGTGATTATGAGATGCTGTATGACGGAGCATTTTTTGGTTTTCAAAAGCCTCTTAATTAGAAGCTTCTTTTAAACTGAAAGATGCTCTCTCTCTCTCTCTCTCTCTCTCTCTCTTCAAGCAAACAATTTGAAGGAGATACAATGTACCACCAAATGAGTGAAAGAAAGAATTTTTTGTTCATGTTCCGTATAAAATATGTTTGGAAGTCTGTAGTAAAAAATCCATACTACATAAGTAGTCACTTTACAGAATGTAACTTACGCAGGTCAATAAGAAACTCATTTGAAGGCCGGTATCCTGAGGAGACTGAAATATTTTGGGATTATTCTACACGATACTTGGTATCGCAATTCTACATAAGTAATCTTTTCAGAATTTCAAATAGCATTTCATGAGGTAGCACGTGTACTGTATTCCACTCAAGAGAGGACCGATTCATTTTATGAAAGCGTTTTGGTAATTTGTGCGGAGGTGGGGAAGGGAGGACTTTGATGTGTGGCCAGCCATGTCATTAGCCCACATTTACCACTGACTTCCTGTAATCTGGACTTTCTGCCCATCTGTAGACGCCCAGCTGACGACTATTTGTTTTTCTCCACAGCATATTTGTGTCATCAACGATGCCGGCTTGAAGTATTTTGCTGTACCTGATGGCGACGCGGCCGCTCCTACCGACCACCCGAAAACAGCTCCCGATGCTGTCGTAGACGGGACTGGGGCAAACGCCTCCTAGGTGTGCGTGTGTGTGCCCCTCCGCATTCTGGACAAGCTCCCCCGGTCAACGTGCAATCATGTGAAATAATCATGCATCCACAACACCAACTACGACTGAAGGAGTGTGTGTGTAGGTGCACCCAACAGCAGGGAATGTGCATTCCAGTGTCCATAACTGCAGCAGACAGTACTCGCCTGACTCTCCCCCCTCCCCCATCCATATTTCTGCCCCCCTTCACCTACCCTTCTCCTTTTTGTACCTTGGTTTGGCATCAATCTCAGTCTGTCAATCTGTAATCGCAGGGAATAGTTGTTACTAGCAAGCACATCAAATATCGCCTTTTTTGTGGACTTCCACTTGCATCTCACAATCATACCGCCGCTCCACTGCTGTGCGCGCGATTAGTCAGGATTTCCTCCAGAGGTGTTCGTGATAGCCTCTGCCGCGTGGCTGGTCCTGGGTGATTACGCCTGTCTCCTCCATGAAACAAGGACACTACCGAGGATTAGCGTAGAGCACGCGCCTCCAGAGCACTGAACGATCCAATGGGACGATTTGGTTTTGGCGCCGTCGGTGTTTTCAGGACACCCTCCCAGCCCTGGGCCTGAAATTCGGACTCTGCAAGCGGTGCTGACAGTTCGGCCGTCGCACGCAATGGCGTCCACTCGCAGAGTAGTCAGAACGCCAGTGAATTGCGCGTGAATGGTGTTCACAGACTCGCGTAGCATCCGTCACACGTGCCTTGCCCACTTCGCTACGGTGGCAAGACCATGTTAAGGCGACCGGGCGTGGGGCGCTATGACTGATGAAGCTAAAGGGATCAGCTACCCGTGCCGCACACGAGACAACAAACCTGAAGGCGACCAGACCCGCTTCCCTAATCTGGGTCGGCAGCACTTAGGGCAGTACAGATTGTATCGCATGTGAGGTCAATGTACCGACGTCAAAAAGGGTATTAGACTTCTCTTCCCTTCGGATATAAATGGGCTTCGGCCGAATCAACGGACGAAAACTGGAGCGAGGTAGGCGAACAGAAGTTAATGTGTACTGGAAGATGGGCACCCCAAGAAACATAATTAGAAGAAGAATGAGTCCTTTGGGAAAATGGACAGCTTTATTTCGTAAATTTCCGAGTCTGGTCCCCCAGCTTGTCGTCAGACGTGTAGTAAGTGTAGAGAAACAGTCGAAATTTTAAACGCCCAAAAAATCGATATTGCTTTGTAAGTGCTGAGGATGGGTCAATGCTGTGGGCTGATGTCACGTCTTGATTGGCTATTACCTTTTCCATTTTCTTTGAGATTTGTGCACATGGCGGTAAGATCGGCGCGCCGATTGATGCATGAATCATCGGAGTGAATGCTTTTAGGAATTTTCGGCCTTTCTTATGCGGGTAGGAACCGACAATGCGTGTTTTATCCCAAGCAAATTTGTGCCCGGTTTCAAGAGTATGCATGACGACTTGGGATAAGTGCTCCTGCCTCTTTACTGTTAATTGATGTTCATGTAGGCGTGCAGCGGCGGTTTTTACGGTTTTACCACTACTGCATGACAAGTGCCACATGGAATCTTATAGACTACTTTTTTTTTATCCAAACAGCAAACTCTATCCTTCGGGTGTACAAGTTGATTGCGTAGCGTAGTCGTCGGTTTGTGAGGCACTTGTATTTGGTGCTTCCTCAGGCGTCTTTCAAGGAGTTCAGACACATTTTTAATGTAAGGAAGCGTCCGCCAATGTTTTAGTTTTCGCGTCTGATCGGAACAATCTAGTTCCTTATCTCTTTCTTTTGGTTCCTGCTGTCTCATGCATCGGCGTACAAAATGTCTAGGGTAGAGAGTTATTGTGGTCAAACAGAAGTTAATGTAGGCAGAATGGTATTACCGACAAAGACAAGGGAGACTGGAATGGCCATTTCTGGCTTATTAGCCGTCGTCAGCCAGCCATACCCAAGCCCGAAGTGTGGAACACCCGAGCCTCGAACTCGCGACCTGTCGGTTTAGAAGTCTACGCCTCCACCCACCGGGCCACGAGCCCGTTGTCCTGTCGGCTAATGTGTATAATTTGGAGAATCGTTCTCAGATGGGAGCACGAGGTTGTAGGTCACCTATATTACAACTTTGACCTTGTTTTTGAACGTTGTGCTCTCATATCGTGCGGCTGGCAGTCCCGAGCTACTCTGATCGTTTATACGCTGTATAGGGAGTCACATGTCTGAAGTCCCTCCTAGAAGCAAGTATCGTGAGTCTTAGACGTTCGTAGTCAGAGGCTTGTATGCGCATTTGGGCCTCAAGGATTGTAAGCCTCAGCTATGTCACGATTAAGCAAACCATGGTCCTCGCAATCTGGTGTGCGCTGACAGTTCTTCGGAACCAGGTTCCCTGTCGGTAGATGCGTTTGCGCGCCCCCGCTGGGTACACGGGTCGTTAACATGGCTGCCCAGCAATCCTCGTCGTCTTTATGGCCCGTTGTGGCGCTGTTGTTTGTTAAAATCCTAGTCAAGTGTTTGTTGTGAACCAAGGGGTTTGATGGCACGCCTAGATGCGGGTCCGGCCATGCCAGCCACCTGCATGTCGGAAACAAAACAGGCCGAGAATTGGTCGAAGCCCGAGCCTCGAATGAGAAGTCAGTCGACCGATACATCGATGTGGCGCCGGCGTACAGGGCCCTGCGCAGTCACCTCCCGCCTACGGCCCTCTTGACTGTGTCTTGACACCGGACTCAGATGGGGAGAAGAGAGTGCCGTGGATGCTGTTCAAGTCCACTCTTACCGTAAACTAACTCGCGAGTAAGACGCCGTGTCTGCCTTCAGCTTGCTGTGGAGCACGCGGTGGACATCGTCGGGTAAGACGGTCGAACTGTGGTATGAGTACTTGCAACCTAATGCCTTCGAGCTTACCAGTGTTGTTGATGTGGTTCTCGGCGTTCAGGTTTATCTGCTGGGATTATAACAAATAGATGACCGTTCCCCAAAAGAGTGCATGGCGTATTAAAGTGCAGGTTGCCTCTCAAAATGCACAAGTTATTTCGCTTACAGGTGGCGGAATATTCTTTGCCCTCGAACGTCGCACATAAACTGAGGCATGATTCTCCACTAAAGAGTATCTGCACACATCCTTCGGTATGCGATGATTAAGACACCATGAGTCAGTGGAAGCACAGCCACCCGACTGGCTGACCAGCTAGCGATTGGACTATCTCAAGTGGCTGTCCACAGCTACGAAATGGGTCGTGAGTTTAACTCCGCGGCTACCAGGACAATCGCCCAGGTCGGGAACAAAACAGGCGGAGAATTGATCGAAGCCTGAGCCTCGCGTGAGAAGTCAGCCGATCGATACATTTATCTGGCGTCGGCGCACAGGGTCCTGAGCAGTCACCTCCAGTCTTGCGTCATCGATCGATGATTAGCTAGCTCGTCCCGTAATTGTCGCTCATGCGATCCAGTTCTATTGAGGCACGCCAGTTTCGCTGTAACACTTTCACAACCGTATGAAGCGTAGACGAAAATGCTTTTGATGCGTCGAAGGGGATGGACTGCGTGCCTCGCTACTGTGTGAATTGCAGACTTCCTCCGAAAAAGTAGACAGTCTTTTTCGTACAGACTAGTTATCTAGCTCTACTGACGTGTTCTAGGGTGATTAGACCCCTTGCCATGGTTGGGACGTGTTTTAGGAGGGGTTCACAGACTCTCAGGACTCAGACTGGTTCCCCCTTGCGTCTCCACAATCGACCGAACCATTCCTTTGCACGGGGTCGTAAACGGCTGCCCCCGGCGCTGACCACCGTGTTAACTGGACCAGCCAGGGCAGGCGATGTGCCAACTTCTCCCCTCTCAGATGAGGAATTAAAGCACTAGTCCGGGACGTCGGACAGATATACAATAGATATGCTAACTCATGAAATGTTAAACTAAGTTCTGAAATACGTTTTCGACTCGAGAAGACTACTTAAGCGGAGTTGTAATATTAACCGTCATGCAACATAATCCCAAGATAATTCATTTACTTCAGGATGCCGGTTTTTGGACGAATTTCTTTCCGGCCGCCTGCAAAAAACTATACTGTGAAAGATGACTACTGATACAGCACGAATTTTTCTTATTGATTTTCGACGCCCTGATAAATTCAATATATTTAGTAGAAAACATGCACGTAAATATTCATTTTTTAGACATTTGGTAGAAAATTACGTCTTTCAATTTTATATTGGAAAAATTGGTAAAATTCGGTTTTGAAAAACCTTTCCAATATTCAAATAGTTTTGAACTCCACCTGCCCTTACACTTGCATTCAGAGTCTCCAAACTACAAGTTGTACATTTTCCATGTACGGTAAACCATGCACTTCTCCACGATGTTAAGAGGAGACCATATGGAGTTCATAAAATTTGACAGTGGATTTGAGCCATGATGTAAACTTTACAAGCTGCATTAGTAAATGCAGAGACACGATGTTTTGTAAACGGGCATATCACGGCCTTAAGAAATCTCATAATTAGAAACTTTTTTGAAGTCGAATTATACCCTTCCTTCAGGCAGAAAATTCAAAGGAGACGTAACTTCCTTCCACATGAGTAAAAGATTGAATATTTTTGCGCAGGGCCATGGAAAATCGATAAGAAAATGCATACCACTTAAGTAACAGTTTTTATAGTGTATTTTTTGCCGGTGGCCGGGAAGAAGTTCTTCCAAAAGCCGACATCTTGAAGTGACTGAATTATCTTGGAATTATGTTGCATGGTGGTTAGTATTACAACTCCACTTAGGCAATCTTTTCGTGTTGAAAACACATTTCAGAATTTCGGCTAACATTTCATCAATTAGCACATCTACCGTACCTACTTCCCTGGCGGTGAAACTGCTCTCTGAATCCTTTTCCGAGGTACGGATATTCGCTTCTCGGCAACTCCACCATGCGCAGAAGGCGGTTGCTTTTTGTGGGCAGCCGGTGTACTCTCCAGTCTCCCCACCCCCGAAACCTCAGTTAGGATGAAGACTGTTCAGTAGGGCATAGCCAAGGCGATG